TCAGCATTTCATGCAGCTGTGATGAGCAATGCCCAGAGGCCTAGGTCATGGTTGGAGAATCTAGCCTTACTTTTCACACCACTCTTTCAGTAACAGATCACCAAGAGCAGCACTACAGATCAGTTTCCCAGTGTAAAACAAATGCTCCCTCACCACAAAAGAGAAGATTTAGCGACCTTACAATCTACAAACAAGTACAAGCAAGAGGCAGAAAATTCAGTCTAGACACAGAGGCCTTGAAAACTCTTATTAGAGTTCTCATAGAGAACTCTTAGAAAACTCTTCCAGAAGCTCGTCTCTCTAATTCCGGGCTCCTACCTATCCTCACCTTCCTATTTGGCATTAGCATTTATATCTGTGGTAGATTATCTCCTAAACATTTGAAGACAAATTATTACACATGTGGGAACAGCATACATTTTTAAGAGAGCATGAATCCAATACATCAATAGGGAAGTTTGAAGTATATTTCATGTACTTCTAACTGAGAAACCATCAGGTGTAGAGTTCATAATGAGCTTCTAAATGCAGATACAACTATACCAGTTGTCTCTGGCCATCATCTCCTCTGAATGATGGGGCATCTGTTCTGATTAGTTGGCGTCCCTGTCATACCACTTGATAAATATTTTGTATATCATCCTTATGTCCATATGACCTGGAAGAAGAGCACTTACCTTCATTTTCCCACTGTATTTTGGGTCAGAAAGTGTTTGAAAGGCTGCATCTTTGCTTTTCTGCACGAAATCTGGGAATCTGGAAAATACCTGATCACATATCCTTTTGATCAGTGTTTCCTTAAAGAGAAGAGGTAGAAGAAAAGAAATATCAACTTCACACACTCAAACCTGTACAAATTGAAAATAAAATTTAAAAAATAAGTTATTTTAATCTAAGCTTAAATTTTCTCGCTTTGATTAAAAACTTAAGTGCATATATTTGTTCGACACCTAAATTAAAAGCTGAGCAAGTTTCCTTTTAAATTTCATACAAAAATAACTTAAGGATATTTGGTTAAGAAATTTTATACTAAATATAAAATATTTCTACCAAGTAGCACCACAAAAAGATTTTAACAGCCACCCAAACCTGTTGTCTGGATGTCCTTGCAGCCTGTAGTAATGCGACGTGGTTAGCTACCTTCTGAAGGACAGCAAGGTAACTGAAATACAAGGTTTTCACTGTTTCACCATGTGAATTGGTCTGTAACCAGAAAAACAAAGAAAATAAAAATAAGCAAGGGACTAATATGGCTATGTAACTACTTAAATCACAAAACATATCACTTAATAATATTTATTATCAGGTTACTATTATTGGCACAATACATTCTGAGAAAATGATAGTCAATAGTTTATACAAAATATCCATGAATCACTAATATGGAATCATACTTTTGGTGAACCATAATACAGTGATGTTTTTAATAAAAGAAGGGAAAAAGTCCTGATTCCAGAAACAATATTTATCCTCATGGTACACAGTGATAGAAGTGCTGTCATATGAGGCTCCTGGCAATAAAACTCCTCTCATTTACATTCCAAGGTTTCCTAGGAATCTGGGCTATTACAAAAAAAGTGAAGTGGTTAAAAACAGCAAAATAAATAAGAGATAGAATAAATATTGATCTAGATAAGTATTTATTTAGGGTCCTTCTACGTACCAAGTTATGTGACACATAACTTGATAATAAAATAGAGGTTAAAAAAGGGCAGGATATATAGATATAACGTAAAAAAAACCCAAAAAAATATTTGTTTCTAAATAAAATACTATACTGTACACAGTTTCTATTAAAATAATACTACACCTCACATCAGAATAATATTTTCAGCCTGCTATGAAAGAGTAAGTTTACTATTAGTGGATAATGAGAGACTTCCTGACAATGAATGAAATTTCAAGATGAAAGTGGGATACTTCCCAATAAAAGTTGAATGGAGGATATCAAACTGAAGCTACTTTCAAAAACTAGTTTTTTAAAGATATTTCAATATTGTATTTAACTGTGATTACTATTTGATATTGAAAAATATTTTTGAATTGACAAATATTTTGTAAAGCTTTCCCTTTTTATTAACTCATGGCTTCTAAAGTTAAAGAACTATCTGAGGAAAAGTTATTTTATCTGCTACTTACTCTGACACTAGAACAGAATACTATGTAATGAAAACAAGCTAGTAAAGCTATCATACTGAAATGCTTGCCTTATAACAACAATTCCTCCTTTTTCGGCCACTGCTGCAGGTACAAGGATCAGAGGATTGAAGTATCAAAGTCACATCTTCTGTTTCTAATACTGCTTCATAGACAGCTTTCTGAAAATCCGTCAGAGAACAATACACCATCTGCCAACAAAAACACCGGTAATTATTAGTATGTTTTTTATAGCATTAATAATCACAATACTCATCAGATTTCATAGAACGTTACAGTAAAAATTACTCATAAGCTAATTTATTCTTCTTATAAATACATCATTATGGTAGCTTCTCCCAAATCGCCTATATTCTTTGCCAGCAACCTACACTAAACTATACAAATTATCTTTATATTCAAATAAATCTTTGTTTTTTAATTAAAAGGAACAAAATATGAAAAACAAGTTATGTGATTTCCTTATATATTTCTCAAAAATTGTGGCTCTTTTCAGGATTGCAAATTATTAGTCTATTATGCAAATAAATTGTTAAAGCTCAAATAAAAAACTATCATAGATAAGAAAAAAAGTGGAAGCTTTTAGAACAATAGTATGAATTACAATTACTGAATTATTTGGAAAACAGAAAAATACCCCAAACTTCATATTACTGAAAACAAGATAAAGTATTTATATTGAATATCTTGTTATAAATTCCTAAAATTAGTAATGATAAGCATTAAGTAAATATACATAAAAGCAATTACAAGTTGTTAGTTTCTGCCCAAATTCAAAGATTAAAAAAATATGATAAAATAATGCCATAAGTTATGGGGGATACAATTACCTTATGTTTCCTGTAGCACTGGAAATTGGTAAAATTCTTTCAGCTATAGCCGTTTATAAGCAGGGTCATAAAACTAAAGATACTGATAATAGGACTTTGAGGAATGTGAATAATAGGGAAAAACCATCTATTTATAAATATGTATATATATCACTGCAACAGAATATTATTGCCAAAAAAAAGACAAATTTGTGCATCCAAGCAAATACAGGGAAGTCTATATAAAACAATGCTAGATTAAAAAAAAAAACTATACATAAAATATTAGCTATATCTTGACTCTACTTGAATATAAAAGTACATATAAGAATAAAAAGAATATAGAAGATGGAGGTCAATGATTAAGGTATGGAGGGGATTCTGAGTTATTATTTTTCCCAGCTTTATTGAGATATAATTGACATATAATATTGTGTAACTTTAAGGTGAACAATGTGATGATTTCAAACATATATTGCAAAATTATTACCATAACAATAAGATTGGTTAACATATCCATCACTTCACATAATGGCATTTTTTTTGTGTGTGTGTGGTGAGAACTTTTAAGATCTATCATTCTTTTAGCAACTTTCATGTATACAATCCAGTATTGTTAACTATAGTGACCATGTTATACATTAGATCCCCATTATGCATCTTGTAACTGGAAGTTTGTACCCTTTGACTAATATCTCTCCATTCCCTCTGTCACTGAGTGTGGCTTTTAAAAAAAAATATTCCACATACGAGTGCAATCATACAGTATTTGTCTTTGTCTGACTTATTTCACTTAGCATAATGCCTTCAAGACCCATCTATGTTGTCACAAATGACAAATTTCCTTCTTTTTTATGGATGAATCATATTCCATTATATTTATTACTATATCTACATATCACATTTTCTTTATCCATTAATCTGTCAACAGACTCTTAAGATGTTTCCATGTCTTCCTTACTGTGAATACTGCAGCAATGAACATGGGAATTCAGGTATCTCTACAAAAGTAATTTCATTCCCTTGGATATACACCTAGAAGTGGAACTGCTAGGCCATATGGTAGTTCTATTTTTAGTTTTTTGAGGAGCCGCCATACTGTTTTGCATAGTAGCTCTACCAATTTATATTCCCACCAGCTGTGCACAAGGGTTCACTTTGCTTCACATCATCACTAACACTTTTTATCTCTCATCTTTTTTATAACTGCAATTCTAACAGGTATGAGGTTACACCACATTGTGGTTTTGATTTGCATTTCCCTGATGATTAGTGATATTAAGCATCCTTTCATGTACCTGTTGGCCATTTGTATGTCTTCTTTAGAAAAATGTCTATTCAGATCCTCTGTCCATTGTTTAATCAGAGTATTATTTATTTATTTATTATTATTATTATTGCTATTGAGCTGTATAAATCCCTTATGTATTTTGGATAATAACCTCTTATCAGGTATACGGTTTGCAAATATTTTCTCCCATTCTATAGGTTTCCTCTTCATTTGTTGATTGTTTCTTTTGCTGTAGTTTTTTAGTTTGATGTAATCTCACTTGTTTATTTTTGTTTTTGTTGCTTATATTTTGGGTGTCACATTCAAAAAATCATTACCAAGACGAATGTCAAAAAGCTCTTTCCCTATGTTTTCTGCTAGGAGTTTTACAGCTTCAGGTCTTACATCTTACACTTAAGTCTTTAATCCATTTTGAGTTAATTTTTGTGAGTTTGGTATAATATAGGAGCCCAATTTCATCCTATCCCATGTGAATACCCAATTTTCCCAGCAGATTTTACTGGAAAAGACTATCTTTTCTCCACTGAGTATTCTTGGCTTCCTTGTCAAACATTAGTTGACTGTATATGCATGGATTTATTGCTGGGCTCTCTATTATATTTCATTGGTCTACATGTCCGGTTTTATTCCAGTACCATACTGTTTTGATTACTATAGCTTTGTAGTATAGTTTGAAATCAGGAAATGTGATGCTTCCAGTTTTATTTTTCTTTCTCAAGATTGCTTTGGCTATTTGGGGTCTTTGTGGTTCACTATGATTTAGGATTTCATTTTTGTTTCTGTGAAAAATGCAACTGGAATTTTGATAGGGACTGCATTAACTCTATAGATGGCTTTGGGTAGATGGATATTTTTAACAATATTAATTCTTCCAACCCACAAACATGGGATATCTTTCCATTTATTTGTGTCTTTTTCAACTTTCACTAATGTCTTACAGTTTTTAGTGTATAGGTCTTTTCACATTCTTGGTTACATTTATTCCTAAGTATTTGATTGTTGAGTTGGTATTATTAAAACATGTAATAACATTTACTGAACACTTCTTATATGTCACACATTTCAGAGCAACCATGTGAGGAAGACATGTTATCATCACTCCCATGTAACAGATAAAGAAACCAAGGTTTGAGAGACTTAACAAATTGCTCAAGATCATACAATTCATAAGTAGAGGAGGCAGGGTTCAAACCTATGGCATTTGATTTCAGAGCCCAAGTTCTAAATTTCTATGTGTAACTCTCTTTTCCTATTTTTATGGTTTGTTTTTCCTACTACTATAGATAGACAACTAAACAATATACATTAAATTGCACAAAATATTTTCAAAAAGTGGAGGTTCATCAAATTTTCCAATGAAATAACAATATTTGCTTCAGGTCAAAAGTCAAATGTCATATTAATTTCCCCAACTTGCATGTCAGTACCATATTTTCCTTTCAACAGGATATTTTAAGACTAGAAGGCATTTGATAGGATTGGTCTTATGTGGGACAACATTAGTTAGATTTCGTTCACGGTAATTTATAGAACCTTTATTCCATTGCCTGAGCTAAAAGAACCATAAGATTAAAAACTATAAAAGAGAAACACTATATTAAAAAAAAAATCCTCTTACGGTCAACTCCTCACATTTCCTTAAACAATTAATAGAATTTAATTGTAATTTTCCTACAGAGTTGTAAAATTAGGTTAGTCATGTCACAGCAAATAGCATTCTACAAGCAACAAACCTATAATAATATAAAGCTTTTAACCACTCTGGTCCTGTAGCTAGAGTTAAGGTGCCAAAGAATATACTGAATTGTAGAGAGTAGACAGTATAGGAAGGATAAAATACAAACAGAAAAGACATTAGAGAGAGAAGCTCTTCTTTCTTCATTGAGGAAGAATGATATCAAAAGTCTTTTTGTTCTAAAATAAGAGAAATGAGCTTAATGTATACTAACAATAAACCTGTTAGCTGACAGCTTAGTAAATAAAGCTAGTAAGAAAAATGACTGGGCTCAATTAATGTTTTCTGAAATTTGGCATATAACAATTTTTTTCACACTGAGTAAAAGGCAAAAAAACTATACTGATAAAATACCACAGGCGACAGATTTTCTACTGAAAATGTGTTTTTTCAGGAAAACATAAAACACAACAACAAATTAATAATATATACAAATGCGATCCTCACCCGGTCTTCCTTGTTAGGCAACTGATCCTTGATTAAAGTTTTTGTACGCCTCAGGAACCATCCTGACATCTTTTTTGCAAGCCTTTGCATGGCTTTTCGGCCAGTAGCTAGTTCTCTTTTTGTTGCTGTGTGTCTCTGACCATGTTCTACTGGATCAGAAAACTGCTTCTTGAACTGGATCCTGCTACCTAATAGTCCTGGCACAGCCCTTCATAAAGGCAATAAGAAAAATGTTAGGGCTTTATTTCATCATCTAAAAAGAAAAACATTGGCTTTCTTTTTTGCTTCTAAGAAATATTCTTAGGCACTTATTTGTTAATGACAACCATGACAAAAGGCAAGCAAACCAACCATTCTTTCTTTATGACAGTTTCAGTAAATAACTATAAAGTGATGATAGAATTGGTAAATTAGTTCAGATATTTACTTCAGGGACCAAGAGTAATATATAAAGATAGGTTTCACGGGACTCTCTATTCTATATACTATGTTTGAGATCAAACTCTTCTGTAAATACATAAATAATTATGTTTTTCCCCCCAGAAACTAATAATTAGCAAACAAGGTAACATTAAAGATGTATTAAATAATTTCCCCCAAAATAAAAAGTGTTTTCACTCACCAGTCCATAACACACCACAGTTCTTTCATGTTGTTCTGAAGAATGGTTCCAGTGAGGCCAATGCGAACATTACATTTTAAAGCTTTCATAACTTCTGTTACTCTAGCTTTTGGATTCTTGATTCTGTGAGCTTCATCCACAATGACAGCTGACCATGGCAAGCTATTAAGTGAGAAAAAAGCGGGGAGAGGTTGAGAAAACTTTCCTTTCTTAGCCTATACAAATTTTAGAAAGCAGCTTTCTCAACCAAAGTTTGAGTTTTTTCCCTCTTTACTCTTTGATGATTCCATAGTTGGTTAAATGGTCACAGGTCTGGACAGTCCACAAAAGCAAAATGTGCATAGAGACAAAAGAGTATAGAGATTCTGTTTAGTGATAGTGGAATAAAAAAAAAAACTCATTTAAAAAATTACAAAAGAATTGTTTAAGTAATAAACCAGAGAAATAAATATAAAATATATGAATCAAAACATGCAATGTTAAATCTGAATGAAAGCAATATTAACTGGTGATTTTTTATTATATAGCTCTGCCTGCCAAAAAGGTTTAGAGTGATTGTTACCCCAGTAGAAATGAGCACCCATCGCAGTCAATCCACTAAAAGGAACCAGAGCCCCATGGAGAAAAGGTTGATTTCAGATGTGCAGCAGGGGAAATACTGAAAGCACAGATGTACACAAAGACAAATGGGGACAGTCCAAAGGACACAGGATCCAGGCTAATCAGAGAATTTGAGCATCATCAAGAACTGATTATAACTGAGTATAAAACATTTGATAAATAAGAGCCCAGGGAAGAGTTCTATGAAAGAAAATTAATTTAGACTCACCTCTGAGGGGAACAAAAATTTTGCTACCCTAAAATATGCCTTTGGGATATTGGCTTTAAGCTGGTTATTAAGAAACAAAAGTCTTGGAAAGAATCTTTGATTCTCCCCCTTCTTGCCTAAAGGAATTCAGATAGAAAAACCTGCTTCTGGAAGGGAACCTTAGCATATTCACCTTAGTGTAATCACCTTTGCACATATGAATCAAGTGTGGCAGACAGGGAGGACCCAACCAAATTCTGTTCACTAAATTCTTTATGTCCCATTGTTTCTGGCTGATCCAGCAAGAAATTTGTTTACCACATATTTAAATTGCCTATTTTCCCTTTGAAATCCCAGACCTCTGCCCGCCTTCTTTGTCCAAAATGACTCAACTGTCCAATGCATTTTCAGGTTTCATATGTTATGGCACCCCTGAATGTATGTCCATAATAAATTTTGGGCATTTTCTCCATTAATCTGTCTCATGTCAATTTGATTATTAGCCCAACTAGAAGAACTTAGAAGGTGGGAGAAAACATGTTTCCTGTGCCCTCACATTTCATGCCATACACAAAAAATAACTCACAATAGGTCGCAGAACTAGACATAAGAGCTAAAGTTATAAAACATAGGAAAAAAATTTTGTGACTTTTGGTAAGGCATACAATTTCTTAGAAATGATACCAAAAGCATGGTTACTATTAAAAAAAATTGATCAGTTAGACTTTATTGCTCTTCCAAAGATACCATTAAAAAGATGAAAAGAGGGCCGGCCGAGTGGCGCGATGGTTAAGAGCTGGCTTGGGACGCCAGAGGGCCCCGGTTCAGATCCCACATATGAGGGCCAGTGACACTGCCCTCCACAGCTAAGATGCTGAACAACAGCTCAACCTGGAGCTGGGCTGCTGTGAGTCGACAGCGATGGTGTAGGCTGCAGCCCCTGTGGCAGTGGGTTGCCATGGGCTACTGTATGTAGCCAGCAGCCGCAGTGAGCGGCCGTCCAGAAGCTGGCGACTGATCTGCCTCGCCCGGGAAGAGCGCAATGATGGTGCCAACTTGGGCCAGTGAGCAACGTCCTCCACAACTAGACTGAAGAACAAAACGACAGCAACTTGTCTGTTCCCCTTCCCCCAATTCCCCAGCACTGTTCCCATCCCCCCGATTCCCCAATAAAAAATCTTTAAAAAAAAAAAAAGATGAAAAGATATGCTATAGACTGGAACAAAATATTTGCAAATCATAACCTGGTAAGGAACCTGTATAAAGAATAAATACAGAACTATTACAACTCAACACAAGCTAAAACATCCAATTCAAAAGCTGGAGGAAGAGATTTTAATAGACATTTCACCAATGGAAATATAATACAAATGGCAAATAAGCACATGAAAAGGTTCTCAACATCATTAGTCATTAGAGAAATGCAAAGTAAAACCATAAGATACCACTACAGATCCATTTAAATGACTATAATAAAAAAAGACTGACAATATCAAGTACTGACAAGGATGCAGGGAAATTGGAACAGTGGTTCTCAATAAGCATGGATTTTTTGCCCGTCTACATTCACAACAGACTCACATAATTAAAATCACTCAAGAAAATCACTGCCTTAGTCTTGAGGCATATGCATAAAAGGTTGTATTTAGACGAAGTCTTATCATTCTTTAACAGGCACTGCTTCAGACAGGTCAAAGAGGAAATAAAATAAGAAACTGAGGGAAATCTGATGCAAGTTTTTCCTCCTTAGAAAATAAGTTAATTATTATAGACTATATCAATAATTCTGAAATGAAATTAAATCATGCTGAAGAATATTTAGAGCTTTAAAAAATAACAATATAAAGGGATAAATACAATTGATGTAAGCAGAATATTAACGTAATCATTCTCATTATTGCCATTACCTGTTAAGTTCATCCAGACATAAGCGCAGTGTTTCATAAGTTGTTAGAGCAATCTCGCATTTCCTCTGCTTTACACGAATCAGTTCATTGTCTTTCTTGTTACCATGTAATACAGTGACTCTGAAATAACCCCAGGTGTCCAATTCATCTTTCCAGTTGTACAGGACAGAAAGAGGAGCAACTATTAAGAACATCTAAAAGAAGAAAAAAATTTTCTGATATATTTTTTAAAAATGAAAAAACTCTAAAGTGAAATCCAGAATATCAATAGCTTTATTCTTTAATTTTTGGCACTGTAGTTAATAATAAATACAACTGAGAATCTGGGTATATCTGGACATAGAAGATCAAAAAAACCTTTATTGTTTACTTAGCTTTTTATTATGACAAATACTTAACCTTGCTCAAAGGAACAGCTATTTTTTTATTTCCCCTTCAGAAAGGAGTTGAGAGAGAAGAGACAAGTAATTTTACAAAATGGAGAAAACAGTATAATCAGGATCCCAATAACAACTTCAAGAGCCAAGCGGGTAGCATAAATATGCAAAGCAGACCAGGTATTTTTTTTTATATATATGGTCTTCTGGAGCTCTCTTTCCTTTTCATCTTCCTACTCCATTTCCTTCCCCCCTCTCAGATACTGTTAGTTGAAAACCTGGAAAACTCACTGGAAAATCAAAGCAATTAGAAGAAAACCTCCTTTTCTAGTTAAGATGGCAGAGTATGTAAATGCTGTGCTTGCATTCCCTAACGACCATCTCAAAATTATAACTAAACTATAGAACAACCATAATTAAGAATCTCCCAAAGTCTAGCTGAACAGAAGTCCTATGACTAAGAACATACAGAAGAAGCTATCTGTAGACTGGTAGGAGGGGAGGAGGCACAGAATGGGCTGATCCCACGCCTGCATGTGGCAGTAGAAAATTGGGATGGATATTTTGGCTGTGTAGGTACTCTCTGAGGAGTGAGGGGTCTCACCTCTATACCAGGCTCCCCAGCCCAGGGTTCCCATGTCAAGAAAAGAAGTCCCTAAAACTTCTACCTGTGAAAAACAGTGGCGATTGTGGCTGAGTGAGATGGAGGGTGCTGCACTCCCAGGTGCTCCTCTTAAAGGGTCTATGCTCAGACTTACTCAGTGATAGACTCACTTGTTCTGAGCTCTAGCGCTAGGGCAGCAGCTCAAAAAGTGCCAGGGACATTTGGTTGGGACTGAATTGTTTGGCTTCAAGGGGAGGGCTGGAGAGGCAGCTTTCTCACAGACAGAAGTGCTGGCAGAAGCCATTGTTCCTTTGTTGAGCCCCCCCACTCCCAGTGTGCACTTGTAGGCAGGCACCCTATCAGAGTCTCCATCAACCTGGCTAACACAGTCTGCCTGACCTTGGTGATTACCTGAGACCCCCTCCCCCCAGCCAACTTGCAGGCCCACCCAGGCCACTTCCAGTGCCTTTTCCATACAAACAGCCTGTCTTAGCACATGCTGCAGACTTTCCCAAAATCTATCAAAGATTCACAAACCCCAAACAAGCAGCATCTGGTTTCCGTGTGCCCTGTACCTCTTGCTGAGCAACCCTAAGCCCAGCATTGGCAGCAGCCAGCCTTGATTAGCACCTTGGCCTCTCCCAGGTGCCTCTAAGGCCAGCACAGGTAGCAACCATCTGCTTTGTGGTCCATGCCAGGTGGCCCCAGGCAGAGCAAAAGCTGAGGCTGAACTTGGCCTGTAGCGGGTACTCTCCCCCGACTGTCTAGCAGGCCCTGGAGCCAGCATGCCTGGTGGCTGGCTTCAAACTGAGCCAGAGTACCACCTGGCTGCCTCTATGGATGACACACCCAAAGAGCAGACTGCACAGGCACCAGAGCCCTGCAAAGGGAATCGTGCTCCCTCGGGTCAACCCCTGCTCCACAGTTCCTCCACTGTAGTCATGGCCAGTCCTCACAGTCAATCAACTCCAATGGTCAATCCCTCTCACTGACATGCAAACAGCAACCAAGACTCAACTACAACAGGAGGTCACACACAACCCACACAAGGGACATACCTGCAGCACCCAGCTCAGGTGACCAGGGAGACTGCGCCACTGGGCCCTACAGTGTGCCTAGTAGTTAAGGCCACTCTACTAAGACTGGGACACATAGCAGCTCTACCAAATGAAAGAGAACAAAACTCCAGAAAATTAACTAAACAAAATGTAGACAAGCAATCTACCAGATACAGAGTTAAAAACACTTCTTATAAGGATGCTCAGTGATATCAGAGAAAACTTCAACAAAGAGATAGGAAACATAAAAATGAAGATAGAAAACATAAAAAAGAACCAGTCGGAAATGAAGAATACAATAACTGAAATAAAGAATACATTAGGGCCTGCCGAGTGACTCGTTGGTTAAGAGTTGGCTTGGCAGCGCAAGCTCTGAGCAACAGGGCCGCCGGTTTGGATCCCACATGGGCCAGTGACACCGCGCCCTCTACAGCTAAGATGGTGAACAACAGCCTGACCTGGAGCTGGGCTGCCGTGAGTTGCCAGTGACAGCGTAGGCTGCAGTAGGGCTGCAGTGGGCTGCTGTGAGCTACCATGAGTGGCCAGCAGTTGCCGTGAGCGGCTGTCCAATGGCCGGTGACCAATCTGCCTCAACCTGGAAGAGTGAGATGATCACAATACCAACATGGGCCAGTGAAATGACGTCCTCCACAACTAGACTGAAGAACCAAAGGACAGCAACTTGTCTGTTCCCCTTCCCTGATTCCCCAACACTGTTCCCTCCCCCAATTCCCCAATAAAATCTTTTTTAAAAAAAGAATACATTAGAGGGAATCAACATATTAGATGAAGCAGAGGACTGAATCGGCGATTTATAAGATAAAATAGCAGAAAACACCGAATCAGAACAGAAAAAAGAATCCAAAAAAATGAGGATCGTTTAAGGGGCCTCTGGGACAACATAAAAAATATCAACATTCACATCATAGAGATATCAGCAGGTGAAGACAGAGAGCAAGGAATATAAATAAATAAAGTGTTGTAAAAAAAGGCGGAGGAGGATGAGGAGGAGGAGAAGGAGGAAACCTTCATCCCTCTCACCTTTATAGGCATACCTCGTTTTTTGCACTCCCTAGATACTGTTTTTTTTACAAAATGAAGGCATGACTTTCCACCAGCAAAAAGATTATGACTCCCTTTACTGCAATACTCACTTTATTGTAGTGGTCTGGAACCAAATCCACAATATCTCTGAGGTGAGCCTGTATATCCATTACCTACCTATATTTATTTCCATATATTCTTCCTTCCCACAGTTACCATGGATGAACTTTCCATGTTCTTATCTAAAGACAAACCCTGAACATACACAGTAGCTCCTATCACTTCTTGCCAACCTAAAGAAAACGCTGGAGAAATCGCCCACAATCTCTCCTACATGACTAACTTTCCCTTTTTAATTGCCAACATCCATCCACAAGTAAACATGTTCTAATAATCCCCAGGGTTAAAAAAACAAAACAATACCACACACACACAAAAAAAAAACAACACAAAACACAACAACAACAACAAAACTCTTCTTTAACCCTACATCTCTCTCTAGCTTTCCCTCATTGTTTTACTTCCTTCCTAACAGTGACCCTCAGAAGTTATCAATACTTATTGTCTCTGCTGACTTTCCTCCTATTCTGTCTTGAACTCATGTAAATAGGGCTTCTGCCCTAACCCTCCAAAAGCAGTCCTTGTCACACTTACCAACGTATCTCTGTTTAGTCTTCACATGAATGTTTCTAAGTTCCACTGACCTTTCCTGTACTATTCCTAAGTCCTGCTGTCATCAACTATTTTAATTCTTAATGTTTTTATTTATCACCATTCCCACTACTCCTAAGTTATTATATTTTGTAGGATTATACGCTTAAGTTTGTTTTCTAAAGTTGCATACTTGTCCTACTTGATAAAGATGAACCAATTAACTATACTAAAATTGTTCAGTTTAACAAAAAAAAAAATACAATACTATTCTAAATCCCTCCCTCTCTTCTGTGATATATTTCAGCAAGACCATTTTACAGCTATAAGATGTCAAATCTGTGACTGTTTTCAAAAGAGAAAGATGAAAAAGAACAGATTAACCTACTAAACGTGGGAATTCCTGTTTACCACGCCTCATGGAGCATATATTGTAAGTGCTCTTGTCATACTTGATTCACCTCAAATACCTTTGTCTTCTGGCTGAGTTTATCCTATGACTTCCATTTTTCTCCTACCTTCAAATATGAAACTAGGGCTCTAAGACTAAGTCCAATTATAGTGTCCCCTCTTTTTTTTGTATATTACAAGATGAAAATGTTGGATCCAAAGTCCATCTGAGCACTTTGAGCAGTTTTCCACTTGAGGGGGTCATTCATCAATGGTGCATGAATTTGAAAATTTCTAGAAACAGCTCTAAGATTCCAGAATAGGTTTGAAAATTCATACATTTCTTACAGTCATTATTGGTCTTCAAAATCGTGAAAGGTAAATCAAATTGTTCAATAACTTGTTTTAATATTAAAAGAGGTCACAGAACTGAGTTATGCCATTTGCAAAGTCCAGAGAAAGTATATAAGAATTTAAAATGTTTACTACCATGCTGTAAATAATATTTCATTTAATAAGTCTTTCTTGAGCAAAGGAAACCAAATAATAAAATGGAAAACAGTGTCCAACTGAAATTCTATTTTTTATTCTGAAGCTAAGAAGCAATTTTAAAAACTAAATCTAAAATATAATACAAATAAAATTAAAAATTGCTCACTTAAATGTTATTAAAATTAAGAGGCCATGTTTAATAGTGCAACTAAAGAATACTGAATTATTTTTATCTCTTTCAACAAATCTAATTCAATTATTGAGGCTCAGGCTTTTAAAGTTTGATTCTTCAGGCACTATGGCTTTAAAAAAATGATGTGGTATGGACTGTGACAAGCCACCCAAAGATGTTTCATGTGTGATGATTCTGTAGAAGTAGTTATAATTTTAACAATAATTACCATAATAATTACTGAGCACTTACTGTGAGTCAATGACAATGCAAAGAAGTTCACTCACATTAATATAGAAACTTTATATAGAAATGCTGTAAAGTAGAAATATTTAGTATTTCCTTTTTAGAGATGAAAAAACTAAGGTGTAGAGATGTTAAATAACATGTGCAACGTCATAGTGCT